ACGATTTCCCGGCCGTGAAGTCTACCGGCGGTGTCGAGCGTGCGATCAGTTTACTGGACGGCACGAGTGTCAGCGCCGGCGGCGGCACCGGTAGTAGTGGCCATCGGAACGAGTCTAAGACAGCGGACAGTTACCAGCAGTTCCTGTGCCGACTCCGTGCGCTACTGTTGTCCTCCTATTCGCGACAACTGGTCCGCTACGAAGACTACATTCGGACAGTGCGTGAGTCGCGAACGCAGGCCAACTGGAACTTCTTCCACTTCTTCGGCCTTCAGGAACAGCTGGCCTTTGCCTTCGAGATGCTCTCCCTATACGACGAAGCGCTGGTACAGTACGACGAGTTGGACGCCCTGTTCAGCCAGTTTGTGATCAACTCGACGGCCGCACCGATGCCCGACTGGTTGTCCCAATTGGCCGTCAACTATGACCTCTGGCACGGCCTCTGCCTATCGCCCGCTGTGTCGAAGGCTCTGCGCCGACAGTTCGCCGCCAGTGTTGGCATCGATGGCGATGACAGCACTGGTGGGACAGCGCCGGCGACCACAACCGCCCCCAAGACAACACTCGTTGAGCTTCGGAACTATCTCTTTGCCCGCCAATCGGAGCTACTGTTGCTGTTGAACAAGCCCTGGGAGTTGGCCTCACGTGCGCTACCATTCCTCCAGAACTGTGTCAACGAATTGAATATATTAGAAGTGATTGTCTTTGTATTTATACTTTAATTAGTATTCAACACTAGTTTAACATTGAATTGAATTAATTAATTATAATTTACACATTGATTATCATTAATAACTAATGGTCTGTCCCGTAGATAACGATGACTTCGGGTGGGATCGCCTGTTGGGTGTTCTTAAGCGCGTTGGAAATACTGCACAAATGCGAACGATATAGCGATTCATCACAGATGGAGTCCTACTCTAGACATACGGTCGGCCTCTGGTCTTACGCCAGGAATAAGGTATTTATTTCTGACCGCCGATGACTGGACTCCCGACCAGTCAAAGACACTATACATTTAATTATATGCCATTTCTTAATGACACCACACAATAGTTGGCCGAATTGGGTGCGCTGTGCGGACTGATGCCCGGCATGACTATGACATCGGAACACTTGCATGTAGTGGTCGGCCTCATAGCCGGTATGGGCGACGACCCGCGCACTGGTATCTCATTTACTAAACAATTGTCTTCAAAAGCTGTTTGTCCCGCAAAACTCACCACTAATTGCATGTGTTTTGCAGGCGAAACACCGCTCAGCCCTCAGGAGCGGCTGAAGGAGGCGCTCAGCGGTCAGGAGGCGTTCCTCAAACACTATCTGGAGATATCGGAGCTAACGATGGGTACCTATAAACACATCGGACGCATGCGATTCGCCCGATTCATCGGCAAAGAACTATCGGAACTATATATGTAAGTATAGCACTCATCAGTTCCACCACTCAATTATCTCATCGACGGCTCACTACTAATCATGTCTTATATCGCAGAAAAATGTCAAAACCACAGAAAGCGATGCCATTCCTCTTAGATCTCGAGAAGGTTTTCTTACGTGAAAAGTGGCCGCAACTGCTCAACGAGATCCGCGTACTGTTGCTCCGGTGCTATCAACAGACGGGCGACTCTCGGCGCGAGTTTAAGGTGAGGTGTCAGTTGGCGGCCAACCCGTTGCTCACCGACGACCAGCGCCGGGAACACTGCGCGGCCGCCGAACGGCTGATCGCTGGGAACAAAGCCGCCGCACAACCACTGGTGGTGCCGATGGACGAGTTGTTTGACGTGCGGGACGTACGGCTGGCACTGGCGGAGGACAACTTCACGGTCACCAATCGGACCGTCGAGTTGGACGCGAAGATTGTGAGCAATTTTCCCAAAGAGATTCTTTGCGATCGGGTGTTCGTGTCGCTGACCGCCGAGCCGTTAATGGGTTCCCATTTGGCCAAACACAAGACCTCTGTAGCCGCAGCGGCTAAGAGCTGTCCCCATATGGACGACGCGCCGGACAACTTGAAGAGTGCCGCAAATATCGTTAAACTGATCCCAAGACCGCAATTGGAAACGTTTCACACAAGTATCTCAGTGGGCGTGAAGTGCAACAACACCAGCAAACTGTTGCTCCGCCGCAGCGACAGTCACGGCTTCATACTCGGTCAGGACAGAGAGCCCGAAGTGCTGGACACCGGCCACGCGTTCACAGCACGCGCGGTGACCATCAAACCGGGCGAAAACGCCGTACGGCTCCAGTACTCGACTCGAGAATCGGGTACGTTTGTGGCCACACAACTGGTATTGAACTGGGACTCAGGGGCCAACGTTGTGGGCACAACCGGCGGTGACCTGAGCCGCCACCTGTGCTTCGCGGTGATCGCCGAAGAGCCCACTCTACGTGTGCTACAGTTGACCACTTTGGACGGCCGGGCGAGCGATATACTGGCCGGTGTCGAGCAGAGCATTGAACTGCAACTCAATTGCGGCTCAAGTAGTCTACCGGCCCGACTTCCGTTGACCATCAGGGCCTCACACGGGCTACAGATACGGCTCGAGACGGACGTACGCGACCCGCAGGCCCTGTACGACGAGATCCAGTTCCCGCTGCCGGTGTCGCTGAAGCCGTTTCAGACCTACGAAATACCGTTGATTATCAAAACTAAACTTTTCGCCCAAAAGGAGTGCACATCAATACAACACGAGCTGACCATGACTTGGACAACGCCGACCGACACCACCGCCGCTGCCGGGACTACTCCCACAACCCCTACCAGTGCCGTCCCGGCGCCAGTGCCCACCATGAAGCTAATTAGCACACAGTTTCATCTGTTGCCCCCATTCCTGGCCACACATCAACTTCACACTTGCGATCGGCGCAAGTTTATCGAGATTCTGGTCAACTGTACGGCCAAAC